GCTCCAGGGTATCGATCTCCCGGAAAAGCCGAGCAAGATCGGAAAAACCACCCAGGTTGCTACTCAGGTGGTTATTGAATTCGTAGGATCGCTTTTCGAGGGGTTTGGGGAAACTATAGCAGAATACCTTTTACAGAATATTGGAAGAGGGAGACGCAGCAGAAGATCAAGAACTAACAATTGATCGAAGCTGCGCACAGCCAATACTACATAAGAGTATATTTAAGATATTGTTCGCTATGCAGTTCTTTCTTAATCATGTCTGTCCAACGTGTCAAATATGGAAGTGTGTTACTTCATAATGCAAATACTGTGATCAATGCGTTCCTGATGTGTGGTCTTTTAAGACTCAAGCCAGATCAAATATGTGAGAATTACTCGGGGCATGCAAGGATTTACTTGCAATTTAAACATAGCACTACAAGAAAGAAGAACTTGCTTAAAATGGACAACCTAATATCTTTTATTGCAGATGTGATGAGAAAAATAAATGTCTATTCAACTAAAAAATATTGCAATTTCTAATTACCTACTAATTCTTTACAGTAATGAAATCAAAACATATTAAGTACAACACCCATATCAATTTGCTAAGTTGAGTGCTTCAAGCAAAAAGAAAAACATCAAACGATTTCCTCCTAAATACTGAACTGAAACATGTCGATATAAACATGAATTTGCATCATTTCGAGTCCATAAGTCCATCTCGTACTATAAATTATGCATAGTTAGGTTGAGTATGAACAGTAGCATTGCATCCAGATCCAGATAGATATCAAGCTATTTGTCAAAGGTTGAAGGCTCAGCTCTTCATTTTCAAAGGAAATAACTGTATGAAGTGGTACACCCGCTGCCAATATTTCTTCTCCTCTCTTGTTTGATGTCCTTCCAATGTGGGTACTTTTTCTGTTCCCATCCTTGTTAACAAGATGTTTTGCATAAATGAAAACTACAATGAACCATAACCTAAGTTCTCCCACTTGAATGGGTCAACTGAACCAATATCCGGTGCACCTCTGAAGAACAGACAGACACAAGCGCATACAGCAGCAATGACGAGCATTGAATGAACGTATGGACGCTGAAGCAATCCCTGTGAACCTGGAAACTTTCCTCTGTATCTACCTGCTGCAGCTGCACACTTGGAACAAGATTTACGCCCTTGGTTGATATGGAAGGTAGTCTTGTGACCATGATCAAATTCCATGCCAGCTTGCTCAATGTCCTTTCCAATTGATATAGAAACTTGGAAATTCTTTTTATCTGCAAGCTTCTGATCAACAAGCGTGATATAGGAGTGGTTGTTCCTCATCAAGGCATACGCATAGGGAGACAGCCCGTTCGCATCAAGAACAGATTTCCAGCAATGCAACCCAATCTACAGATAGAATATCAAAATGGAAGGATCAAAACTTTCAATCTTTACATAACATAGGCCAGAAAAATTAAAAAACTGCAATATTACATTATAAAGCATTTCCAGTTAGCTTCAAACCGCCAACAATGTGGAATTATGCAAGTAAAGTATTTATAACATTCATATATTTTAATGCCCAGGATTTTCAAACCTCACGAGTGAAAAGTGAAATAGGAGTTTACGATGACAATAAAAGTACCTCCTGTGGATCGCTCGTCAAAGCATCAATCATATCATCTGAACCCAACGTAGAAGCAGCCAAATGTAAAGGTGTGATACCACCAGGTCCAGCCATATTGGGTACAAAGATATACTTTATGGGGGAATCAGTAGAATCGCTAATGGAGTAGTGAATAAGCAAATCAACCATTTTCCTACACCTCCTATTGACGGCCCTGTTCAAAAGGTGGGTTTCTGATAGCATCTCCAGAGACTCCCTTGCTAACCCTTCACGACCCAGGCTTATTTCTAGCAGAATGTCCAGGAGTGTTTTGATCAAAGCACAAAAGTCATGATCGACAGAAAATGTAAGAAGAAATTTGAACCGACTAAGCCTATAATCAGGGCTCTCAAACAAGGAAGAATTGTTCTTTCTCTGAAAAAGCCAGCCAAGTTCGTCCAAGAAATGGAGGACTTCTTCCCTTGTCCTGGGCCTAACTGGATTCTGAATGTGATCAGATGAAATACCATCATGCAATAAAGAACCTTCATTGATTACAGACTCAAGAAGTCTCAATTCTTGACAGATGGTATTATCTGCTATGATTACTGGAAAGCTGTTACCTCTTAAGCCATTTTCAACCTGTTCCCAAAAATGCATGTCAATAATTTGAAATTTATATTAGATTACGAAAGATATTGTTCGATAAGAAAATGCTACCTCAATGAAACAGCGGCCCAGCACACTAGATGGAGCATGAATTTTAAAGCTGCCCAAGCTTATCTCGTCAAATACAGTTTCTTGACATGCCAATTCGTTTACACTGTACCCATTTGTATGTGTGCAGTGAATCCTGCATGATAATCAAAGAACAATTTTTAAGAAAGGATATCCCAATATATGAAGGGGGTCTAGTGAATAAACTATCGGACACGTACTTGGTGCCTGGAATAGTCAAATTTCTCCCCCTCAACAGAAGAGAGGTTTCTTGCCCACCAGCAACTGCCACAGGTGAGACCAAGACCAATTCTGGGGTATTCCAGGTTCTCCAGGACTTGCAAAGATGAATCTTTCCTGAAGATTGTTTGGATGCAAGGAAGAGAAATCTCATTGAGATTTTGATTTATGAGGGTGTGCGCGCATGTGTGTAAGCGCGAGCACATATAGACACACACACACACACACACACACACACACAAAAGAAACTGGTAAAAGAGAGAATATTCAAGAGATGAAATCACAAATAACCACTTGAGTAACATAACATACCATCCTTATAGGAAGCCATTTGTTTGTCTGTGTGAACCAAAAATCTTCCATTTCTCCAGAAGTCAGTATTAATATCATTGACCAAAGACTTGACATAATCAAGGAGGTTTCTTTCAAGCTGCAAAGACACGAGTACAAAAGATGGTAAATGAAAAGCTATCAAGGTAAAGCTAACATATTTTGCCCTTGTTTGAGCCCCAGTTTTGGGAAAAAAAAATGATTTCTTGAATAGTGTATTGATGGGAAATATGTGGTCAAAAAATAAGGAAAAATTTTGGATTTACGTATAATATTATTTTATTAAAAAATGTACGGTCGAAATAATATCAAAACACTATTGAAAAATTCATTTTTTTTTTCAAAATAATGGGACTCAAACAAGGGCTTTATAGAACAGCACTCACTTGATCCCAGGCATAGGAGGACATCGATAAATACACAGATAGAACTATGCAGCCAGGCCTAATATAGCTTTCTATTTCGGATGGACTGCTAGCAAGCCAATTGTATATCTGAAAAAGAGAGGCAATATACACCATTAGTTATCCAGTAAGAATGAGGAGAACAATCTAAAGTCAAGCATCGATATCTCACCCGCGCTCGCAACGACTCGGGCAAATGACTGGGATCCTTGTCAAATAGTTTAAAAACAATACGGCCATTACGATCCTACACGTCAAAATATATTAAATGAATTGTTTCCAAGATAAACATAACTAAGATATGCTAAAATAAATAAACATATGACGAGGTGCTAAAAAGAAAAATAAGGGAGTGGTTGTGAAGTACCAGAACTCCAGAATTCAAACTTGATGGTGAATGATCAGACCCACTAGAAGATGCATACCCTGCTTGGTTAGGAGAACTCTGAATTGATCCATTTTCAGCAGCTCTAGTTGAGACTCCAAAAAGCTTAAGAGATGTACTGCACTGGTTGCTTGTAGTTGCTTTCGCATGCATAGTATCCACTTCGCTAGTAGACACATTGTCATGCTTCATATGGTCCCTTGAAGTATGCATTGGAAACAGGTCATATACAACAGGTGGTGAAGAAGATGGAGACCTCTCTTGTGAAGGATTGCTACTATCAGATGAGAAATAGTTTCTACCAGATGGCAATTTTCTTAAGCTATCATCTTCAGGTGAGTAATTAAAGAGTTTTAACAGCAAATTTGGACGTGTCTCTTGAACATGGCAATCTGAATCTGCCACAGGAGAATGGTAACTTGTACTACTTCTCTCTCCTCCAATAGAGGGAAACTCCAAAGCGGGTCCTTTCTGCAAATTGAGAGATGCAGCTTGATCAACAAAGGCTGACTTACTTTTCTCAGAGTCGCTCCTATCGCTGCTTGGTTGAGATTGAATTTCAACTACATCAGAAGATGGCGCTGCTGGATTTTCCGAAAGAACAGAAAGCAAGTCCACAGTTGGTGGCAAAGAAACATTCCCATTCAATTGGCTTTGCTTTCCAGAGGATACAAGGTCAGGAATACTTCCATTCGAACATCCAGGCAATTTGGCAGCCAAGTTTGCAGGCAAGGGTTTTAAAGAGTTTAATTTATCAAGTAACTGTATGAGCTGATCTTTTGCAGGTATGGATGAGAATTTACTCCCGTTCTCAGTATTCCCTAGAATCATAAGCAAATATTAAGCAAAATGTCAGATGTGTCCATGAGATGAGAAGAGAAAGGCATGGATGCTTATGTGCATGTGATATTATTCCTGTGCATATGCTGCTTCTCGTGTATCACAAATCCACATAAATTTCTTTTTTCTCTCAGGAAAATTTACAAAGAAAAATGTAGAACCAAGAAACACCCAAAAAATAAAAAAATAAAAAGTAAAATTGGTAATTCCATTAGGGTGCCACAGCCAGAGCACCAATGTGCCAAATCAATTTGCTTACCTAGTTTCATACCTTGCGCATTAGCTAGAGCTGCCAACAAATTGGCAATATCCACTTCAGAGTTTCCGCATTTGTCACGGTTTTCAGGAACTAACAACCGTGAAGTAGCATCATCAGGTTGAGTCTTTCTTCTCCTCCTGTTATGCCCAGCAAGTCTACGCCTACAGCTTCTCTTTCCCTCATCAAATTCTGAAAGAGGGTGGAACCTGACAAGGAGAAAAGAATTGTCAATTAAATGCTGGCTCAACAAGCTCATCCGTGAAAGCAATCAAATGCCAACAAATTTGACATTATAATAGCAGCATATTAATAATCCTTCTCCTAAATCACACAGGATGAAATTAGGTGTTAACTACACAGACTACAGTAAAAAATAAATAAATAAATAAAGAAAAGGACAACCTGCTGCACTGCTGGCAGAATCTTTGCATCTGTTTCCCGACCGAGGCTTTGCTGGCTTTGCTATGAACCTCACACACCTTATGCCGGCGGTGATAGTCCTTAGCCATAGATAGATCTTCCTTGCAATTATCCACTTGACACATAGGATAGCTAGCACCACCAGGCGATCCAGATCTGACTCTTTTATTGGACCTCGACACCGGTTGTGGCTCCTCTACTAAAGTCAATACACCATTCCTTCCATCCACTTCACCTCCAAGCTTCAATCGAAGATTTTCATTATAGTTTTTATCTTCAACGGGTACAGGCTTCTTAGGATCTGCCATGTTATTTTGTACAGCTTTCTGACTTGACACCTTCAACTGAACCGGAGTAGCATTTCCCCCGCGGACTACATCAGATTGTAAAGGTCTGGCAACAAACCTAGCACTATCCCAATCCCAAGACATAGGATTCCAGTTATCCAAAGGATTCTCATGCGAAAAACTTGCCGGCTGAAAAGGCAGATTGCGTTTCTTGGCCATCGGGCGCGCATCGCAAAATCTTCCAGGCAGTGACTGGTGGATGAATATTGGTGAAGCTACTTGTGCACCTACCTCTTCCATCTCTCCCAAAAATAAAAAAATGAAAAACAGAAATCTGCATCGTGGAAAAATGAGAAAAATTCATAAACTTCATTTGACTTAATTTGCCGTAATCAAACATAAACTTCAGTTAGGAGAATAATCAACACAGTAATCAGCAAGTGAACAGAACAAAGATTGATCCAGACATCACATGACAAAAATTCATCAAAAATAATCTAAAAACAACAAACTTAGTACCTTATAGATTACACAATTTCATCTTCCAAAACCCAACTTCGATGCCTCTCTTCTGCACAAATATTCATACGATTTACCCCTTCAACAGAATTAAACAGATTCGACAGCTTAGTACTAATTCCGGCGAGTTTTCAAAGATAACCATAAATGGATTAACCTGAATCTGAAAACGCGTATGGATTACACTAACAAGAGATCCATACAAAACCACAAAGAAAAAGTGAAATTTAGCAATGAAATTGGAGACCTAAAAAGTTCTCTTCTTTTCCTTCTCGGGTTCTCACTCTATTCCTCAAACTATCTTTTACTTTTTTTCATTGTTGTCCTTTCTTTCAACAAAGTTTTTCATTGTTTCACAATTTTTTTCTTTATTTCTTTATTTATTTATTTTTCTTTCAGCTTTATTTGGCACAAACAGTAAATTCAATGAACATTAGAGGGCATCACGTACGAGCCGCCAGCGGACCAACCCCCTCTCCAGGATCCTTCCATTTTCACATGGTCTTTTCCATTTTTCTTTTTTTTTTTTCACTTAAAAGATAATAATTACAATTTGGCTATATTTAAAACTAGCTGAATTAAGAAATTTCGGCTTCATTTTTTTTTTTTTATAAATTATAATTTGTTAATGCGATAGTATAAAGTATCCTTCTCAAAGAAAATGTCTTATTAAGGTTTAGTTAAGACGTCTCATTTCGAATGTGACATTCTAACTTATTTGCTAATTTGCTTTGTATTTCTATTTTTGAAATTTTATGTGTCATGACAAAATAACAAATTGCTTAAATTGAAAAAGATTCATATAAAATTAAAATGGTCGACATTCTTGGAAGGCGGGGATAATACAATAGCCGACTTTCATTTATTTTGCAATCAACTTTTATTCATCCTATAAATGGATATGATCAAAGCCTAGATATCCCACAATAATTATCCATGTTTTGGCTTTTTTCTTTTCTTGTTCCTTCTTTTGACGAAATCCCATAATTTCATGTTTTTCCAATAAAGCAAATTCCAGCATAATAGATAAGGAATCCACCCCATGACGAAATATGGAATTGGTTCAAACCATTATCAAGAAAAGTAAGATTTTGCTTTAAATTAAACCGTATTATGTTCTAAGAAAAAAAATAGCTTACTTTTAGAAATTGATGTCGGAAATCTTATTTAAAGTTAGATAGTAATTTCGGAATATAACTACATGTCAAATTCAAAAAGAATAATATAAAATGAAAATGAAAAAAATGATTTTTGGAAATGAAATTCAAAGATACTATAAGTTGACAAAATAAGTTTTTCAAATTATGGGCATGTTCGGTAGTGATTATGAGAATTGATTTTTTGATCATTAGAGAGAAAATTAGATCCCATCCGTGAGTGAGGAAATAAAAAATGATGACTAAGATAATAAAAAAAGGTCAAAAAATTGATTCTTTGGGATGAAAAATTACTACTAAATGAGAGTTATAACTTTCTTTGTAAAGATCTATTTGGTATTTACCACATAGTTTGTGTAAAAGCTTGACGTTTAAAAAAAAAAAAAAAAAAAAAAAAACCTTTAAAAAAATTGTTGGGCCTGAGAGGGGGAGGACTACAGCCCTGCCCCCCCCCCCCAACCCAACAAATCCGTCCCTGCAAATAATAGTACAAGGTTAAGTATAATGCAAGACATTGTGCAAAATTAATTATTTTATAAAATATTAGAATTAGTGTAAATGACACCGTATTAATGCTGTCAAACCTCTAGTATTGGAGTATAATATCTGTATAATGAGATTCGCTACTTCTTAAGGATGTCATGAGAAAAAAATAGGGTAATTGGCACAAAATATTCCTACCTTTCGAATTTATTGTAAAAAACATCTCAATCTTTCATTTTTTGACATTTTTGTCCCTATTTTCACTTTTCTTTGCGTTGAACGTCATTTTCACCATTTTTGATATAAAATGGCCAATATACCTTCATATTAAAAAAAAAAATAAAAAAATTGCAACTATAGACCCAAACTTTTCATATGTGCAAATGAGTCCAAAATTGAAAAACCCTTCTAATTAGAAGGGGTAAAATTATATAATTTGATAGTTACCATATTAAAATAAATGAACCCAAAATTTTAAAAAAAAAATCAGGAAATAAAAAAAGAAGGGTTGT